GCCCTACCCCGTGACTGACTGCCACACATTCACCTCAAAACATTAGATTCATCCGCGCTGGAGCACAACCCCACGCATGGAATATACTTCCGCACACAGCTGCCATTCCAGGTTTTCAAACAGAGATGGCGACAAAGAGGCAAAACGTACGGACTGCAGCTTTCAGCAAAATATAATTCATTACTTATAGCAATGCATGATTAACACATACATACTGTTTTAACCATTTAAATCATGCAGGGGTGTCCACAATCGAAACGAGGAAACGAGGGGATTGAATAACTCTCTGGATCTGTTTCAGTTCAAGGGCAAAGAGAGAAACGAAGAGAGGAGAGAAAGAGAGACAAATAGATGGGTGTCAGGTTGTCTTGTGAAAGCTTGTACCAGGACAGGAAGTTGCTCTCGTTTGAAGAAGCAACTGGCTTCATTTAACAAAGACACAGACTTACAGTAATCAACAGGAAATCAAAATTCAGCCTGTTCACTTACAATTAACTATTTATTCATTTATCTTAATATTGCAGAGCATAACACTTAAGTTAGGGCATTTATTTTTCTTTCACTGTATAATAATAATCAATAATCAGTGTTTTCCACCATTTATACTCATTAGGCAAAGCAGCGGTTTGTCAGAAGGTGAAGAATGATGAGTAATCAATACATGCTTTCAATGGATTTTACTGTTTAACAACATTGTTCAGCTGACAAAACTTCTTTCAGAAAAACTTTCAGTAGACAAAAACTCCAAAAAACAGTTTTGAAAATTGTGGGTAGCCAAGTAAAAATAATACAGTCCCTTATATATTGTGCGTTGGTACGTCTGACCTTCGCAGCTTAGTTTTATCTGCGTTAAATTCAATGTTGTCTAACCTGATTAAAGGGTTAGTTCACCCAAAAATAAAAATTCTGTCATGAATTACTCACCCTCATATTGTTCGAAACCCGTAAGACCTTTGTTCATCTTCGGAACACAATTTAAGATATTTTTGATGAAATATGAGGGCTCTCTGACCCTCCCATAGACAGCAAGGTAACTACCACGTTCAAGGTCCAGAAAAGTACCAAGATGATTGACAAAGTAGTCCGTGTGACATCAGTGGTTCAACTGTAAAGTTACGAAGCTACGAGAATAATTTTTTGCGCAAAGAAAACAAAAATAACGACTTTATTCCACATTTTCGTCTCTACTGCGTCACTTTGGATGCACGTTCACGACAGTATCATGACGCGAGCATCTCGTAACTTCGTAACTTTACAGTTGAACCACTGATGCGCAGAGGACTTGAACTGGGAACCGCTGGGCTGCATCATGTGTCATTCACGGTGAGAAAACTTTAAAAGTACTACAATAAAAGGAAGGAAGATCGGCTTGTTGATGTTTGTCTGCCATTCTCGCTCTGTCTGCACAGTGTGCGTGAACGCGCTGATGACGTATCCTGTCTGCGCGAACCGGGTGCGCAGAGGTATGCAGATACATACATTGACAGGCAGGTAGGAAAGCCAATTAAAACACTCGGACCGAGCGTTTTGATTGGACGAACATTTATTGGTCATACGCCTTCCACAGAATAAATAAATACAGATAAATACATTTAGACCACTTAACTTAATGATTGCTATCGGGATGTGAAGAGACTTTCAACCAGCATAACAAAAAATGTTTCAGAAGACAATCACCTATTGCACCTTTAAAGGTGATTGCAAGGATTACGTTCCTTTGTGTCGTTATCGTTAGTTGTGTACTCCTCATATAATTCAG